TGAAACTTAACAAAAATCCATCTTTATTATTTTTTAAGAGACGGTTTTGCTCTGTCACCCAGGCTGGAGTGCAGCAGAGTCTTCATAGCTCAGTGCAGCCTCATCCTCCTGTCCTCAAGAGATCCTCCCACATCAGCCTCCCAAGTAGCTCCCCCGGCCCAGATAATTTTTTCTTTTTTATGGAGACGGAGTTCCCACTACATGGTTCTGGCTGGTCTTGAACTCCTGGCCTCGAATCTATCCTGCCTCAGCCTCCCTAAGTTCTTGGATTATTGGCATGAGCCACCTCAGCTGCTTGGCCAAAACGTCTTTAAAATGTTAATCTTGGAAAATGTTTGCAGCAAGAAATGAAAACTTTAGGACTTCTCCCCCACTCCACTTGCTTTTAATGTCAAAACACTATTAAATATATCAGAAAAGATGCGAACTTACTTGCTCAAGTGGAATCACAACATCATTTTCAGCAAAAATGAACAATGTGGGGTTCTTTAAACTATAAATGTCTTCAGAATCCTTGACGATGCCTGAAAATTGAGGACAGGGGCATGAAAGGGGCAGTTTCCACACTCGTGCCTCAGAAAACTACATACATATGCTTTGATTTTTCAAAGTAAAATACGTCTCTTGGGAGCTTTTTTTGGTAACAATTTCTCATAAGTGGGATTTTTGTGAAAGAGAAATTTACCCGAGATCTTCCTGTCCACTCCATTCACTAAGAATCAGGCTATTAAATAATGGAATTAGACCCTGTGGGCTGCGTAGTGCCTAAGCACACAGGAGCAGCTAGAGAAATGCCCCTCTTGGGATGTGCCCTCACTTACAAAGAGGTTGTTGTTTTCAAACTGTCATTCTACAAGTTTCTGGTGTCTACAGGGTCTCCCAGGTTAGGGCCTAAGTGCCCTGGCTGGCTTCGTTTGTTAAGAGGAGCGGGCATTTGAACAGGTACGCATGCTCAGACAAGGCCACGTGCCTGAAAGTGCGAAGCCTAAAAGCGGTCTGAAAGTAGAAGCAAGCTCTGCCCGACCCAGGATGTCTGGAAACAAACTGCGGGTGTGCTCACTTCTATGGGAAAATAAGTGAAAGTTTTCCAGTAAGTTACATTTTAAGATAAAAGAGCAGGTAGAAAAAAATAACTGGTAACTTTTTCCACTTCCTGCCGGCAGCACAGAAAAAGTAACCCTTCTTCAGGAGAGACGGAGCTGCAGAAAAGATGTCCACGCTCCCTTCTCGCCTCAGGCAAAGCCACTTACGTGGCTGCACCTGGCTCCAATGCCCCCGTGGCCCGAGTCCTGCCGGAGCCGCGGCTCACGTACTGCACAGCAGCGGCCAGAAGGTGGCGCCGGGGAGGCGTCCGCTTCCTGAGCTCCTTTTGCCAATTCGCACAAAGGCGCTGACTGGAGGGGCTTCTGACAGTCAGCCCCTTTGTTCCCGGAGGCAACCGGGCACTCCCTGAATTCGTGTTCTTTTCTGTTCTTTATGTTCAGCATTTATGGTCTCAATGCTTCTGCATCACAACCAGACAGGTCACTTACTAGGTTTTATGTTCGTCTGTGTAAGTCAATATTCAAAGTGTTTTTAAAAAGCTGCTAAAAGTAGATAAAAATACCACACAGTGCAGAACCATTAAGCCAAATAAGAACCATCATATAAAACCAGCACATTGTACCCCATAATTCCATTAATGCACACAGCTATGATTTAATTAAAAAAAAGAACCATCATACTTAACGATATACTATAGATGGTCCCAACTTAAAATTGGGACCATAAAATTTTTCAATTTTATGATGGTGTAAAAGCTATATGCATTCAGTAGAAACCATTATTTCGACTACCAGTATGCCCATTCTGTTTTTCACTTTCAGTACAGTATTTGATAAATTACGTAAGATATTCAACACTTTATTATAAATAGATTTTGCACTAGATGGTTTTGCCTCACTTTAGGTTGGTGTATAAGTGTTCTGAGCACATCCAGAGTAGGTCATGCTACACTATGATAGTTCAGTAGTATAAGGGTATTCAGTGCCATTTACAATATTTTCAACTTATGTTCTGTATTTATTATAAAAGATGGCAAAATTTCGTGTGCCTTATTGATTTTTGTATTTTTGAAGGTTTGAATGCTTTTATATCCTAAACGTAGATACAATGTTTTTTTTTTTTTTATTGTGGGGGAGATACACTGTTCTTATTTCATTGCTAATGATCTCTTTGGTTTGCTTTGGCTAAAATGTATAACTTGCCATTTACATTTAAAGTGGGTTTTCCTTTTCTTTCTGTCTTTAGTGTGTGTTTCTGTTTAGTTAAAAGCATTTTGTATCTCAGAAAAATGCTTTCACAGGTGTTGCCCATAAAAGTATCATTGTTATTCATCATCACAGAAAGTAATGCCATCCCCTTCACCGTAGGTGAAGAAACAAACACTCAGGGTAAGTGACTGTCCCAAAATCGTACTGCTGGCCTGGGACCCAGATCTCATGCTCAGTGACATCCTCTGGTTAATTACACTGCAAATTTCCACCTCTATTTTTAGATTCTAAAACCAGTTTCCTTAAGGCAGGTCCTCTCTGCACTATTGTTTTGTGTAGCACTGGGTAGGAGAGGTTTGTGGTAATAACCTGTCACTCAACTATTTCTCCTTTTCATTGTGTAAAGAATGCACAAGGCGGATATACCATAAATGGAGACCCCGGCCCTGAACTCGGAGTATTTCATCATCAAATGATGGACAGCAGTTCCACCCCAGCAGAATCCCACGACGCCAATTTTCTGTGCTTGACACTGTTCTTTCAGATACCTCAAGACAGCGTCAACCTCTCTGGAAGAGAAAGAAAAGATATTCAAGAATCAAGGGTTATTTTGTCAACCCCTCAGGGCCTGTGCTGATAACAGGACTATATCACAATCATTATTCTGAAGTTGTCAAAGGGTCTTATTTTTGGAGCTCCGCCCTCACTGTCTCCAGCCCAGCCGATGCATCACCCCAGCTGGTCGCATCACCCCAGCAGGTCTCATGCCAAACGCAGCCCTCCTTCAACTGCCCAACAGCTGCAGGCACCTGGTGCTCTTTCCAAAACACGGATCTGACCAGCTTTCTTTAGGACAAAAGCCAGAGTCCACGGCATGGCTCAGAAGACCTCAGTCCAAGATCTGGTCCCTGCTGCATGCTCTCGGGTCCTCTCTGTCCTCCAGCAGGCACAAGCCATAACTCTATCCCCTGCCCCAAACACTCATTCATTCTCTGCACACATTCATTCTCTCCCTATAACTCTCAACTCTGCATCTCCTCCCGCCCTAAAGAGTAGAGTAAAATTTGGAAAACCACCAGGATTATTTAAGCCATGAGAACACCAGGCACCAAGAACAGTAGCCCTCTGGCAAATGGGCTATCTGCAAATTGATTGTCTGGAATTCAGACCACATTTTCAACTAGGAGCAGTGTACCAAAGTGGAAGGAGGGTTGCAAAGTCAGCTCAGAAAGTTCTGTTTAATCTGATAGAGAAGAAATTCTGCATGTTTGCAATTTTAAAAATGTAAATACAAAGCAATTCTATAGCACCTACTTTTTCCTTTAGACATAATTGTGAATACATTTAAACGTGTATCATACCATGATGTGCTAGCCATTATTTTCATGTTATAAGTAATCCTGCAAAATAAAATGTAGCAAATAACAGTTTTCAACCTTTTTTTATTTTAAATTTTTTCTTGAATGCTTTGATCTTAGGAATAACTGCCCTAACTAGTGGGGAGAAGAAGGAAGAGGCATTTCCATAAAAATTCTTTGACTTAGGTGAA